CCCCTCTAACATTACTTTAGAGATCATCAGGAAGGCTCATACAGTCTGTCCCACCGGTTGTTTTAAATTAGAGCATGAGAATCACTTCATAATGTTACTTTGTGCAACTTTGCATACACTTTTTTCTTCTTCATGAGATGTTGTTCACCCTTAGTGTCCCCTGTGGAGCAGTAGGGACAAGTGTGCTTAATTTTATCAAATAACAGAATAACTAACTGAAGAACAGGGAAAACACAAGAGGATCAGACTGCTGCACCACACATCTGAATCAACTGTAAAGCCAAAAGCATTTCTTCTGTTCCAAACCCATCCTATCTCCAAGCTCTGCCATGCTTCATTTTCTCACTCTAAATCTCATCTTTGTCCAAACATCAGTCCTCCTAAATGGAAAGGAACAGAGGAAGACTTGTGCATAATTTTTGTCATTTTGAAATACGTTGTGCAGTTTTTAGTGGTTGCTAGAAAAATCGTAGTTCACAAAGTTATCATAAAGAAAAATCAGTAAAGGCTTTTTAAAAAGGTGTTTAAAAGCTAGCTATCTGTTAAAAAAATAAAAGAATGTTTTTGAAACAGTTGGCACCATCTGTTTAATAAAAAAAAGAAAAATAAGACAGAAGCATTGCTTAACTCAGCAGACCAGCAAATAAGTAAAAAACCCATAAATTTCTATTTCAATAAAATGTTAATTATCTGCATTTTGCCAGAGAGAAATAGACTGTGTCATGGTAATGTGTAACTACATTTGATAACATTCTTCAGCGCATATTTCATTATTTCTCAACATCTCATAGGTACTCAAAAAATACTTAGCCACAAACCACATTTAATTCCCAAAACTCTGTGGTGAAAGCCAAGTAAACACATTACGAACTGGGCATCTGCTTACCCAAGACCAACACATGGCATTTATAATTTTGCCAGTTCCATTACTAACATATCCAAACAGATGCCAAAGGAAGTAATCCAAAGACTTTTCAGGCAATGGGAATGAATTGGCCTTATTCAGAGGCAAAGCATTAAAATCACCTCATGGATGACACCAGCATAAGAACATGTTGCTAAGCATTACAATGCATTGGAGGGGTAAAAAGAAATGTTAAGGCAGTAATACAGATGCTCAGAACTAGAAATACGAACCTCTTATGCACATTGTCAGCTGTTACCAGCTTGTCTTGTCCAAGTGCACAATACATGCTTTCAGTGACAAAAGAGCTGAGTGCCACTGGTCCCTCTTCTCTCAGCAACATAAATATTGAACTCACCAGCAACCAATGCATCCTGTAAGGGCTGTTTGATCTATCAGATGATTTTGGTTTTATTATAATGACCAAAACTCAACCACTGACCTAGCCAGATTGCTTTCCCAATTACATGCTCACAGTGTATTCTGTGATGTCAGGCAAGACTCAGTAAGGGTAACAAATACCTAGAATATCTGGGAAAACAAGATAACCTGGATAATACAAATAGTATAGATGTGCTTGAGGAATACGGTGCAGACACATCCATGTTGATCTGCGATCCCCCAAGGTCCAAAAGCATAATGTTGGCACTGCACTGAAATAAGCCTTGTGTAACTCACCATGCTAGAGATTGCAGTTCAGCATATTTCACGCACAACTGTGTATGTCCATCAGGTCCAGCACTAAATCTGAGGTACTGTGCCTAAGCAGAGCTGTGGTGACACCATCCTGCTCACGATGCCAAATCCAGAAAAACCTTTGTTCAAGCTCAACACTGCAGGAATGTTTCTGGACTCCAGCTAGTCCTGAAAACAGCTTACATGCCACTGCACCTAAGCTAATCAACCATACTGACTAATAAATTAGCTAATAAGGCTTGCTAGAACTGACTACACATCGATGGCCTGACTTGCTCACTAAGATAACCAGATAAAGCCCTCAGGGGGGTGGTGATGGTGGGGGAAGTCACTAGACTATAAGCAACATTTTATTTTAATCTTTGAGATTTCATGCTTGATCAGATTAGCCATGGCTAATAGTTCCTAGTTCCATGGCTTTTGTTCCTAGGCCTAAGAATATCAACAAAGTGCTCCTAATATAGTATGACTATAGGGAAATCATATATTGTACCAACATAGTAAGCATTCCACAAATTCAGTAAATTACACCAATAAGTAGATACTGGAAGACTGTATTAATACAGCCAGGACTGTGAGGGATGTCATCACCTGGATCTAACTATGAAGACAGAAAATGATGATGTAAAATGGCTCCAGTGTAAAACTTAGCTGAGTATGCTGACCCATGGCATCAACTACTGATGTTGTCTGCTCCAAACCTCTAACTAAATGCTTATCAAAGCAAACAAACAAAAAAATATTGAACTTTGTTCTAAGTCCAGACACTGCCTACTGGTCTGACCCTACAGACACGAAAAGAGTCATGAAAAAGGCTATCCATCAAAAGGACACTAAAGTCTGTCTGGAGGTGATGGCATATTTTCAGAAAGAGCAGGATTCAATTTTACTGCCAGTGGAGCACATTCAAGTAGGTGGGAGAAGCCTTGGAGGTCAGGCTTTATTAATATGTGAAGAAAGATCAGTCTACACACCATCCCCACTGCATTCCAACAATCCATTTTTCTTGTTTTCCTTCGAGATTGCTAGCACACAAACACCAACTCATTCTCTCCTCTGTCATTTAATCTGTCTATTTTTTTTTTGGACATATTTTCCATTTGAAAGAATCACATTCAAAATGTCAGAGAATTTACAGATTAGCAATGCAACATGGAAGAGAAGATATCTAGAAAAAGGAAGAGAGAAAACATTTGAATTCATGAGTATGACAGCTGAGTAAGTCATGTCACTGAATTTTGCATCAAGCATAATTTCAAATATCTCTTTTCATTTCACTGTATTTCTTAAAGAAATGCCTCATAGTGCATCAAAACAGCTTAAAATAAAAAAAGTTTTTTAAAAAATTATTTTAGTTCTAAAAGAACTTTTAATGAAAAACAGCAGTGGAGACATTTTATTGTGGTACTTCTGTCAATGATTCCATAATAACTTTTGAAAAGAAGTACTCTTTATAAATATAAAGTAGACCAAAAAGCTGTGGAAAAAAATAATAATACACATTCAAACTTTACCCTTTGACTCCTGGTAATAACATTCGGTCTTCTATGGAGATGCTCCCTGTATGGGATCACAGTAAATCAAGTACATTTGACCTACCGAGCTTAACATGACTGTAAGTGAATCTCAAAGACAGGAATGCAGGACGTATGATGCTGCAGCCCTGATTGATAACTAAGAAGTCAGTTATAAATAAATCTGGAACAGTTGGGATTGACTGTTGTTTAGCACTTTCAGACAGACGTTCAGGGCAACTGGCAGGGGCTTTGAAAGCTGTTTCCTGTATTAGAATCATGACAAAAATAGAAGTGAGGCTGCATTCCCTTGTCTTCTGCTAAAATAGATCTTACTCAAAAACATTTTTACAAGTTTGGCGAGGCATAACTAGTCCACTGTCAGATACAGAACAAAATCATAATTGGAAGTCCCACGTTGATGTACCATGAATAGTTACTTATTGAATTAATAAGAAAAAAAAAACCAAAAAAAAAGTTGAGAGTAGTAGGAGATATTAGGGACAAGTTGAAGCTGAGAAGCTGGTTTTACTACTTTTTTTTTTAACTTGTAAGTGAAGGTACAATCAGAATTCACTAGCCAGAAGGCCCTAAAAACCTTTAAAAATAAAATAAAAAGGGAAAATCATATTTTACCAACTATCCTTCAGAATACATGGGTTTTTTTGAGGTTTGGGGTGTTTTGTTGCTGGCTTTGGGGATTTTTTGTTAGTTTTGTTTTTAAATTCAAGAACAGATGTTGCATAATAAGTACTGACAGCAAGGCTGAGTTGTGAGAATGGAACAGGAAAGAGGGAGCATGTATGGGTTTTTGTTCTGTTTTTAAGTGCCCCAAATACTGTTTACAGGGCAAGCATTTGTCACAGAGTTATCTCGCCTCCAGCACTTAAGCTTCCAGATAAATTAAGTTGGCTTTTATTTGTGTGGGTTTTTACAGTCAAAATATATCTCTCAAAATATTGTAGTATTAGCTAGTTCACTGACTGAACAGCCCATTGTTCTGCCAAAATAATCAGTAGCCTTAATGAGCAATTAAGAGCTTTCAGGGTCAGTGAGAACAGAAAATCTTAACATATAGATCAGAAATTCTGTGTATAACTTCATGCTGCTATTGCAGGTCATGAGTGAACTCCCACGCTATATGCAAGAGGCACGCGTGACTGAGAATAGAATGTATGTAGTATAATACAAAATCATAGGAGAGACTAGGATACAATAAGAGCAATTTTATTTAGCCAAGTAACTCTCCCAAACAGGTTTCCCGTAAACTGGTCTTTCTCAACCAAAACAGGTCTGCATAGCGTTTTGCTGCCCCACATGCACACACTCTAAACCACCTCGAACCAAATCAGCTCCAACCTAGAAACTCTGTGACAGTGGTGCATGATGCCAGCTTGTCCTCTCTTAGCAGAGCTCCTTGCTGCAGTTCAGTACCCAGTGAGCCCCAATGCAGACATTGTGGTTCTCAGCAGGATCACAGCTTCTTGGGTCAGAACACACACAAAGCAGACTCATGCTTCTCTACAAAATACTGTGTACCCAATCCACCAGTTACTTCCAGCTATTATTCCTACAGTTTCTACACTATGCAAACTGCAACAGAATCAGCACTAGGAAATTTCTGCAACTTGCCTTCTAAAGTAAGCCTAGTATAAATTAAGGCACAATTCAAGCACTCCAGGCTTGCTGAAGAAGTACACAGACAGGACCAGATTTCAGTCACTGAATTATGTTTTTTCGATCACAACTGCTGAAAAATATGCTTGTTGAAAGAGAGAAAATTCATCATAAAGAGTCGAATCTTTTCTTTGTAATGGATTGCCACACTGCAGATGTAGTTTCCTTTTACCAGAACAGCCTACATAAATGTATTTTAAACTAATTACCTTTAGGTGGAAAATATGACTTGCTTTCAGCTTTATGAGGCCAGTCCACCACAAGAGGTCCAAACCTACGAAAGCTGGCAGTGATCTCATCTACAAAAAACAAATGAGGCACCTTAGAGACAATCTGAAGACTGACAGTGGCAAGGTAAAAATTCTTACTTTAAAAAAAAGAAAACAGACTATTTTCTACACCTATTAGGAACAGTGAAAACTGCAATAATGTACATAGACGATGCCTAAGTATTCTTTCACCTCTATGCTATATATGGCTGTTTAAAAAAAGTAATATTACATTCTGCTAATACAAGTTTGCAGCAGGATTAAATGGAAACATGATCTGTCAGAAGTGAATATGTTTCAGCTACAGTCTATTTCTAATTATAGCCACAAAGCAGGGTCAGATGCAGCCACATAGGACTGACGGAGGAGCTACATGTCAGCATGGCCACTCCTTGTAGCATGCCCTAGAAAGCAGGCTGCCTCAGGTCATGCGACTGTGGGGATTTCACCTTCCTCAGCCCCCTCTGGAAACCTGCCTTGAACTACTAAGTTGCTAAATTTCCTTTGGGTTTTAAGCATCAGTTTAGAAACACTGTGGAACACACATCTCAAATTATCCTATAGAGCAACTTTGTTTTACATGCAAATGCTTCAGAAAAAAATTATTTTTAAGTTTTTTTTTTTTTTAATCTTTTTTCTCAATGCATTTATTTATATACTTTAAAGAAAGAATTAGTTTAAAATTCTGTCTAATGTGACGGTAGATAGATCAGAGCAACAATCTGTCAGGAGAAGTTTGAAGACAAATGCAGTGGTTTTCCAATTTTTTGACTGCCATTTGAGATGTGTCCAGTTATCTGACCCCATGAGCTGCATGTCATTTTTCAAGCGACTAGAGCAACAAAACACATACTGCATAACTCAGGAGCGGAAGGAAAAAGGTGTTACTGGAGTAGACCTCTCATGGAAGAGGGTAACAGCTCCCAAGTGGCCCCGTTACTTCCTCGCAGGATAGGCTGGGCATGTATTTTGATGCTGAGTGACCCACCAATGTTCACATCAGTTGTACCTGATGGCCTGCTTCTTCTTACAGCTGGGGATTCAGACTACCCAGCAGTTCCTGTATCAACAGTCCTGCAACTCATGATGTGACATGGGAACTGCATTTGAGCTGTTTGTAAACCATAGATTGGCAACTCATACTTTTTCTTTATTCAAGTTGCACATGGTTTAGGTTTTGGTTTAGTAGATCAGATTCAGAGATCCCTCTCTTTACATTATAATGCATCTTCAAATTCCCTATGTATGCCAATTGAAGCTAGATAGTGGTGGATTCCAGCTATATGAAAAATACACCAAAAACTGTCACAATTTTGGTTTGGGAGTCAGGGTGTGGAGGGGCACATGCAAGTAGAGCAGATACTGATTGAGACTGAGAAAAAAACCTGACCATCCCTACTAAGCTGGTTATTATTTTGTAACCATATTAATGGCCCTACATTTGTCAGCTGAAGACTACATACATGCTGGATACAAGAACTGATGAATTAAAAACCAATTTATTTTGGCAAGGACTGTATTAAGTCAACCACATCTTTTAAAAAGAACAGGGAAAGACTATGGAGGAGTGACAGTACCCAATAAGTTCCCTTTTTCAGCTTTCCCACTTTATGTGGGAACACATCCTGCTATTGCAGAATAGAAGACCTGCTATGCAGGCATTTCTGTCTCCATCTCTTCTGATCTACAGTACGAAAGAATGTCAAGTAAATTCTCAGGTGTTGCAGGGGGTGGTTGAAGTGTTTGTTTTAAATAATGCCACAAGTGACATACCTGGAAAGTTACATTTGTTTTTATGAAAATCTGACCTTTTAAAAGTAATTATATGAAAGCCAATTCCCACATCTCACCAATGTAACTTATTCACAGTACCTTCATCAATGTCAGGAGGAAGACCTCCAACAAACACCTTTCTAGAATAGCGTTCCACTCTTTCACCATTCTGACAGCGTGTTGGAGAGCTGAGACCCGATGATAAAGACTGATCACCGTGACTGTCGTCTAGGAAGCCATCTTCAAAAGGAAAGAGTGAAGACCGACCTGTAACAGATTTTGTAGTATCTATAGTTAACGCTATTTCCTGGAGAATTAAATATTTAAGTAAAAAAACATTATCTTTTCCTTTTACTTTTATTGTTTTGCTTTAACAGAATTTGCATTAAAGGACCCAGCTAAGTGGTCCAGTTATCCAAATAACATTCATTAGTATTGCTTCTATTTTTCCAAGACTATGTTATCCTTACAAGACAATAAACCTAATTTAACTTTAAAACAAACCCTTTCAAATAGCTAGCAATGAAAACCAAGTTATCTGATGAAATTGTGTGTCATAGCTATAGAAAGAACCTTTGTATGATTTACATTTCAAACCGATTCTTAGAGATTTAAATCTTCCATAAGAGATCTTGAAGGAATGATCTTAAAGAGCAGATCCCTCAAGCCATTGCACTGCAGAGCAGGACAGCCTCCTTCAGAGTGCTTTACAGGGTCCTAACCACAAGGGCTGCATCACTTCCTCCTCGAGTGAATGGAGGCCCAGTCTGAGTAGGGGGGCAAACAGCAAAATAAACATAGAAAAGCTTTGTATTGTGGATATTAAACATATAGGTGAAGCAAGAAGCTTAGCTAACAAGAAAAAAAAATAATCTTTAAAATCTTATTAAAAAAACCCACAAAAAACTTGTGCTTGAAGAAAAAAGTTGTTAGCTAGGGCAGCCTGTCAAGCTGTTACTCAGTGTTAAAACACCCTTTCAGTAATGAATTAACAAAAAGCAACATAAATGGCTGCTACTCAGTTTGTTAATGAAAAGTAAAGAATTTGTGATCATCTGATGCAATTAACTTGTTGCTATTACTACCAAAATATGCACACATTATCTTAAGAACAGATTTATTAACCCAGAAGATAGAGATATGCAAAGTCTGTAGGTAAGCAACACCATTGAACATGCCAACTTCAGAATTTAGTCATTCCCTATACCCGAGTTAAAAATTAATTGTGGAATGTAGAGATGTATAAATGGGAACCCCATCTCAACTCTGAAAAGGCTAATTGTCCCCTCATGTCACGAAGTATTGCTCCCAGGGATGGAATTATAATTAATTGATACAACAGTTTATAGGGGGATTAATTACAATTATAAATAGCAGGGCACATAATTAAATTCAAAGGTAATGGATCACATGAAACTGACTTCCAGCAAGACCTAAGGAAGAATTAATACCATACTGGTATTAACAGCACAGGGAAGCACGGGAAAAAAAACAGGGGCAAGGAGAAAAATCAGAACATGCAGAGGAACACTAGTCAGAAAAATGTATACACTGAAAATATCAGTTAATAGGGTCTCCAGTAGTAAAGGACAGATTACAAAAAGAACCAGCAATGCTATATATGGAAAACAAGCTAACAAACAAAAACCAGAAAAGATGTTCTGACTGACACAGAACACCAGCCTGATTTTTTATGAACACCAGGCACTAAAGTCTTGATTAGAAAGAATATATTGAACGCACAACATTGACAGAGATCACAGATACAAAAATCCACTGAAGCAAAAATCCTACTGTGCTTTTAAGCACCAACATAAAAAACAGGGTAAATGCCACAATCAGAGAAGGATTGAGAGATGCTATTCTTCGAAGTCTAGTATAACTGGTTGTCAGAAATGGTGGGTTTAGAGCATAAAACAGGAAAGACTATTGATGAATATTCCATTAATGGACAAACAGGTCATGCACATATATAAACATATGCGTTTCAGCATAAAAGAGAACACATGCATGAGAAAAATAATAAATAGAAAGGCTAAAATTGTGTAAGAACATCAAATCAGAAAACTCATTGAAAAGTAGGAGATTTGAGAATATCTGTAAGAGATTGACATTACCAAGAAGCTAAATAATCTTTTAATTTCCACCCCCACAACCTACCTTCTTGTAAAAAATAAACAACAATCATGAGCCATTAGTGGAATTTGACATATCAAATTAATAGATACTAGAACAAGGTATTCAACTGAAATACAGGTCTAGAGAGGAAGCCAAGTACGTGCTGAGTTCTGAAGGAAATAATAAAAATGCACAGCAGCTTAAAAAGCAAGATATCACCTCTTATGCCAGATGCTTGACAGTCTGCAAGCACTGTACTCCTCTTAAGTAAATGCAAAAGACGATCTAAAACTTTATAGTTAAGTCAAGTATAGAGTTAAATGTATGAAGTATACATTTTAAATAATGGAAAGCATACAGACAAAGGAACAGGGAATGATTGTTCCCTGTCTCTTCCAGTAAGAGGAAACTAAAGCGTGTTGAACACAGTCAGTACATGGCAAGGCTGAAAGCAAGTCAAACTGTGGAACCCCTTGCCACAGGCTTTTTAGGATGCTTGAAAAGTCTATGCAGGTTCAGAAAAGGGAATGGCCAAGAACAGGAGAAAAGCCCATTCTGAAGCAATAAATATTGAGATATCACCTCAAGAAACCTTCAAAGGCAAATCTCTGGGACAGTATTATGGGAAAGCATCACTAAATACTCTCTTTTTATACTCCTGCCCCCCTCCCCTGGCATCTCTGAGTTGTCAGTGTAGCAGAATAGATTTTGGGCTGATTTCCCATAGCTGTGCTTACACCTGTATCTGAAAAACTGGTTGTAAAAGTTAAAAACAAGGTGCCTAAAAGAACATGACTCAACAGTTCTAAGCATGATACCTACAAAGAAATGCTCAAATGCTCGCCTCTTCACTCAAAGAAAACAGAGGATCAAGTAGAGAACTGATAGGTTATGGCAAGCCCCAAGAAATTTCTGACAAAACCGCTTCTCACTGAAGATGCTTTGTCATAGTGACAGAATCAAACAGTAATTAAAATATCAAAGTATAATAAACATGAAATGAGTCCCTACACAGATTCGCGTCTGGGTACTCTGCATATTACCACAATGCAAATGGTAAAAACAATAATAGATAGGGATATATAGGAATATTTGATAAACCACACATCATTTTTAACAGACTATTGTAGAATTTCATGTTTCTTAAGGTTAAGAAAGCTCAAAACAACATTATAAAATTCAAGGTAATGAAAAAGCATGAACATCACAGACTTCAGTATTGTATGAATAAGGCAAGTCACAAAATCCCTAACATAAATGACAAGACACACGCACACACACACACACACACAAATCTACTTGTTACTATAGAAAAGCCTGAATTTCACATAGGAAACAATTATTATGGAGTGAAACATGCTTTTTGGTAGAGTAAAAAAATATTCTGAAAGTCCAGCACATTCAGAACTTGTTTGCCCTGTTTTGTCATCGCTACAGTTTGTATAAAACAGACTAAGCTGTATTCGTCACAATTACTGCCACATTACTATATTTCACTTCTACAAGTAAATATGAGTTGCAAGACGTTAATAGCGTCCAACTGATTCCCACCTCATTCCCTACTTTGGTGCCATTTGATCAACCTGGAAACACTTGCCACAATCTTAAAATGAAATTGAACAGTGTTCACATGCACAGAGAGTATAGAATATTATATACTCTGCATACTTTCCAATTTGTTTCAGTACCATGAGAGCACGGAAAAACTGTAAGTATTAGGATGCTTTCAACATCTGTTAACAATAGCGTGTTCTCTGGAAGCAGGAAAAAATAGGAAGGTAAGTTTGTGGGGAAAACTTAAATATTTTCCTTTTTGTTTAGCTGTCAAATAAACACTAAAACCAGTCAGCTTTGAACAAAATCAGCTCAAATTCTATATTATAAACTGTATTAGTACAGCCTGTACAGCCTACTACCTCAATCCATATGTATATATGCAAACTACAAGTTACTTATTATACGCTATAGGCTTGCTTGTATGGCTAGGTTTCTCTCCAACTTCTTCACAAATGATGCAAATTCTGCATTTTGAAAAGGAAGCAGTCACATGTATAGCTGTCACAGAACATACATGAAAAAGAAGATAAAATGAAGTTTAATGCCAAAGTACCCCATGCAGATGGCACTGCCTAACTCTAATTGTTAAAAGCTGCAATCTGCACTGTTATTTTCTCAATAAAAACCAGTCTGTGTAAGTACAGCACAGTACATAAATGCAAGCTACATTAGTAGCTTTCTTGGTAGTCAGCGAGCTTGCTATTGTCCATGTTCATTAATCTCTCAGAATAAACTCATATACAGCTCTGTACGTTTGTAAAATGTTTTGAGTCCGCTTTTATTTTTTAAGGTTTGCCTATGATGAAATAAATCTAAAATGTGCTCAAATGTTGTATTTTTTATTATTATTATTATCAATATTCACTGTTGAGGACAGTTATTAGTATTGGTATTCACAATGTTCTACCTAAGGCAATCCAATGTAATACTCAAGATTCAATGAAAGGTGTTTCATCTAAGAAAAAAGTATTTTTGAAGTGTTCAAAGCACTAGTTAAACATTGCACAAAAAATCCCAAACCTGAAAACAATCTTTTTTTTGAACACTACACATTTAAAGTCATAAATACGTGTCATGAAAGAGTCTTTACATTCAGTCATCCTCCAGTTCACTAGTAATAGCAACACACTTGAAGTTACCAGCTCAAAATCATCATTGCTTTAAGCTGCTATTAAAAGGGAGATGTTTTGCAAATGAAGAATATGAGATTGATTTATATGAAGCAATTGATCAACCAAATAATGTTAAAATTGGTAACATCATCTTATCATAAAAGAACTAAATATTTATTTTTCCCACTATTCAGCAAACAAAACATTTAGTAAATACTTTTACCTCTTCTCCGCCCATAGCTCCTGGCTGCATGTAAACACAGAAGAAAATTGTCGGTACAGCTGTCATTAGGTTTAGCTCCAAAAGCAAAGAAATGTAGCTTCTACCTCTTCTCTTTTTCCCCTCCCACCATAAAGAAGGAAAAGACATTAAAAAAGTGCAAGATGAAATTTAAACAACCCAAGACAAGAGAAAAACTTTGAAGATGACACAGCCAGGAAGAAAAAAAAAAAAAAGAAGAAGAAGGAGGAAAAAAAAAA